AAAATCACAAGCAAAATAAAGTCGAAATGCAATCAACCAGGCCAACTCATCTATCAAATTAGCAAACATAATTTGTAATTAAAATATACATTAGATTAGTCACTCTTTATTTTGTAGAAACATTTAAAGTTTATTTGATTGTCTAACAGGCATTGAGGAAAAAATTGTAACACTTCTCTTCTTGGTAATACAAGTTTTCATAAAGAAGATTTTTCGTGTCTTCTCATTATGTTGAGCATTGAAACAGGCACAAGAAGACAAAGAGCTTTAAGCTCTTTGCATCATTATATCCCCTTTATTCTCCTATTCTTGGGCTCATTTTCAGCAAAGAAAAAATTTCTCTCTTTCAATGATTCTTATACCAAAAGGCTCAATTATATTCGTCAAGTGCACCGTCAGTGACAACTACTGATGTTGGCTTCGTTCTTCCACTTTCTTCAATTTAAAAACTTGTTAAAATATCTTTTTTAAGGAAAAAAATCGACCCAGCAAAGTCGGGCAAAGTTCAACTAAATATTTAGTTGATGAAGAATTTGAAAATACGGAGGTTCAGAGTGAAGATAATATGAAAATTTAGTAGATCGCAAGCAAGAAAATTTGGAGGATGAAGAAAATAGAAATGAACAATATGAAGATATTTTCCTTCGCATTTAGACAGTAGTAATCCAGGAGAGTTAAAAACTATTGATCAAAACTTGATAGAATTGTTAATGAAAAGAGGTCCTTTTAAGGAACATGTTTTTACTTTTTCTAACTGGCATTTCTCTTCTACATATTACTTTTGGTATTTATTGTTATTAGATTTATTTTTGGATCTAATTATATTGTAATCAAAGTTAAATTAGATTTTGAAAAGTCCAAGTGATGGTAAAATTAGTATGGGGTTGATAGAGTCCAAAAAGAAGCCAAAGAAAATCAAGAAGAGGATCAAGATTCGAACTTGAAAAAGTTGAAATCGAGTATGAAGCATTTTCGCTAGCATGTCGCACAATCGAACCTCGAGCGACAGAAGTAGAATCTGTGTCGCCCGTTTGAAATCGAGTATGATGCATTTTCGCTAGCATGTCACCCAGTCGACGCTCGAGCAGCAGAAGCAAAATTCCTATTCCCGCCTAGCGCTAGACTGGCGCTCAAGCGATGGTGCATTGCTCGCTTGCGGCTAGCCCAACGTTCAAGCGACATTGTTACGAGGCATAATTCTGTTTTGCTTCAAACACTTGATTTTTCATCCTAAAACCTTTTCTTATAAATACTTAACCCCATGAACGTCACATAGTGTGTTGAATCAAATTTATTTCTCAGAAATCAATTTTTTGATGATCCAAAACGTTCTTTAGTTTCAAGTAGGGGTGGGCATGGGTTGGGTTGGGTCGATTTTTGCCTCAACCCAAACTCAACCTAACATGATCGGTTTGATCAAAATTTAATCCAACTCAACCCAATCAAATATCGATCGGGTTGGGTTGGGTTGGTCGGTTTGGAACGACTTATCAACAAAAATTAAAGTCATCCAATTTTCTATTATACTAAATTCGAATAGACAAGATTAAATAGTAAGTAAATAAATAAAATTGTCTATTATCTTATTCAATTCTTATTAGTTGGGCCTACAAAAAACAAAGTGCATTTAACATAACATGAAAAACTTATACTACATTTCTTGTAGGAAGAACAGTAAGTTCATCCTCTAAAATACACCAATGTAATTACAGTTACATTATCTACTGATACTTTTTAAATTTCTTTTACTTTTCTAGGCATTTTATTTCTTTTATTTTTCTTATTATTATTATTTTTTTAAAGTGACGGGTTGGGTTGGGTGAGTTTATTCGATTTTCTTAAGTTAGCCCATAACCCAACCCAACCCACACAACCCGTGTAAAAACAACAAAAAAAATCGACCCAACCCGGTCGGGTTGGTTCGCTTGGACGGGTTTGGTCGGATTTTGCTCACCCCTAATTTCAAGATTCAATTATCACATATTACTTGATCAATAAATTCTTGCTAAACATATTTTGTTGATCAAATCATATTGTTCCACATTAAACCCCAAATCAAAATGCACAAGATCTTTTGATCAAACACAAAACTACCTAATCTACTAGAAATCAAGAGCTGGTGCAGAAACATGCAATCTAGGATGGCTAAGGTAATATATCAAAGATTAGAAGCTGGTGTGAGGATCATGTAGTCCAGGGGGCCAAGGTAAAATATTAGAAGTAGGAATCTGGTGTGAGGAGCATGCAATCTAGTGGGATCAAGAGTGACTACAGGAAAAGAAGGTCAGAGTGGACTAAGGGTTAGTCGGGTCTAGACAATATTGTAAGTTATTTTGTTTATAGTGGATTACTGACTAACAAAATGTTCGGAGTTTTGATCATTTGTGAAGGATTTTCTCCATGATCAATCGTGGTAATTCAACATAAGAGAAATTGGCATTGTCGATTAACTGATATGAATCCACGTAACAATAGTAGTTTCAAAACCTTCAAAAGATTGAATCACAACCCCAAGAAAGTTAAAATCCCGACCTAATAATTTATTGAATCAAGGAACCAAAGTTATAATGGAACTTGACCCTTAATCACAAAAATTATGAACATTGCTATGAAATTGTTGAACTCCACAAAGAGTACAAATTTTTGATAAGTTCGGATAGTTTGAACGCTACAAATATTGAAAATAGTTGATAAGTTTTATTCAATTAAGAACAAGTGAAAAAAATACACATTATGATTAATTCTGAAAAATTTAATGTCTTTATTGTAAAATGAATGTGCCTTTTATAGGCATAAATTAAACTCTAAATCAGAACAAAACTCTAATTCCAAAAACAAATCCAAATAAATTAGAAAACTACAAAATAAATTTGAATAAAACTAAAATATTAAAAATAACGAAAATATCTTTAAACTAATTGAAAACATAAAAAAGACAAAAATGGACCCCTAAACAATCGAATTTGAACTTCAAAGTTAGATAAAGTCATCCAACAAACTGGTGCAGAATCAAAAGACGTTTTCAAATTGTACTCGTTGACGAAAATTTGACAACCGATTTGAAAGTTATATGCATTTTTGTACATATTGTGAGTTTTCACACATACTTCATATTTCTTCCATTTTCTAATTGATTTAGGATCTTATCTTCTAATTGATCTATACCACTTCAAAACATGCAATGAATCCTTGTTTGTTTGCCATCCATAATTCTCATCGTTCCCCATCTCTTCAAGAAGATTCGCCCTCGAATCTTGACATTGAAATTGAATATTTTTTCTTCCTGAACTATTTTCGCCTTTTTTTAAAAAAATTTCTTGACTTTTCTTTCCCTTTTTTTTTTTTTTTTGAATCTCTCCTTTTTTAAACTCGAAAATAAGAAGAGAGAAAAAACCTGATTCTAGAGTCAAATCTTTGATACCAATTGATGTAAACTCACATAACAATAGTAGCTCCGAAACCCAAAAAAGCTAAACTCACAATTTGAAGTTTGAACCAATAATTTATTGAATCAAGGAACCAAAGTTATAAAGGAACTTGACCCTTAATCACAAAAATTATGAACATTGCTATGAAGTTGTTGAACGTCACAACGAGTACGAATCTTTGATAAGTTCCGATAGTTTGAAAGCCGCAAATATTGAAAATATTTGATAAGTTATGTTCAATTAAGAACAAGACAGAAAGTTAAAAAAAAAAAAAAAAAATCACATTATGATTAATTCTAAAAAATTTAATGTCTTTATTGTATAATGAATGTTTATTTTATAGGTATAAAATAAACTCCTAATCAAAACAAAACTCTAATTCTAAAGACATATCCAAATAAACCAGAAAACTACAAAATAAATTTGAATAAAACTAATATACTACAAATAACAAAAATACCCTTAAACTAATTGAAAACATAAAAAACGCAAAAATGGACCCCTAAACAACCTAATTTGACGCTCAAAGTTGGACAAAGTCATCCAACAAACTTGTGAAGAATTGAAAGACGTTTCCGGATTGTACTCATGAACGAAAATCTGACAATCGAGTTAAAAGTTATACTCATTTTTGTACATCCTGTACGTTTTTGCACATACTTCATATTCCCTCCATTTTCTAATTGGTTTATGATCGTCTCTTTTAATTGATTTGTATCACTCCGGAACAAGCAATGGATCCTTGTTAGCATACCTTCCATTATTCTCATTGTTAATCATCTAAAAACAATTAAAAAGTAACTTGTTGTTTTAAGTTGTGTAATTCCGCACGTTAGGTATAAATATTCGGATAATTTAAAACTTTTATTTATCAAATGGTGAGAAGAGTGATAGAAATGGTTGGTCTCCTCAATTTCATTTGGTAAATTATTTTGCTTTTGTAGCAAGTTGTTTAAGCTAGAAGTAAACAATAATCAATTAGCTAATGAAAAAAAAAAGATAGGAAAAATCTTAGTTTTAGACTTGAGAGCCATGAAACTATTAATGCATTCATGCATAACATGAGAAAGATGGATTGAACTGAAAAATTACAAACGAAGACAGAATACTGGAGAGAAATTTTTTTGAGGATATTTCTATCATTAGTTGATAAAGTCCTACATTCAATCAATAATGTCACAAGACAAGTTGAATGGATGACAATGGTGTTTATTGGAGAGAAAAAAAATCTATGACATATTGATGGTAGCAATATAATATTTTATTTTCTATCAAAAATTATAGAAGAGTACATTTAGTCCATGTTCGACACACATTATTTTAAAATCTTTTTTCTATATACTTATATTTTCGACCACACATTCACACAATAAAATATTCTGCACGTAAATCCAAAAAAAATTCTACTTTTGAATTACATATTCTCTAAAAACTCATTATTCAAAACTCTATTTTTTACAAATAACTGTTGTCAATATGGGCTTAATTTAGACATTTGAAAGTTTTAGATTATTGTTTTTGTAACTTTGAATATTTTTTATAAATAAAATATTTTTAATATCTATAAGGGCCCCATATTTAAAATTAGCATAAGACCCCAAAAAATTCAGGACCGGCCCTACGTCCATATGAATACTCATTAAACAACTAATATGTGAATGCAAATTTAATATATGGTAGCATTATAATAAATTTTTTCATTATTAAATTTTCAAATACGAACTATCTTCTCTATTAGACAGAGCATCTCTAGCAAAAAAAAAAAAAAAATGTTGGTGAAATTTTGAAAAAATAGTCCATATGTCCTTCGATCGCATATTTTCGAAAAGCTTCAGATAACCTATCTATACTATTTTGAAAGATTTGAGACCTCCACGACAAATCTTATCTAAAAAATAGGAAACTGGAAAAGTATGTCTTGTCAATTTATTCTCGCAGAAAATTATTCTCATTATCCACTCTTTTCCATTCTCGTCTTTAACAGCCCACTTTTAGGTAAAATGTTCTGTCGGCCTATGAATTAGAAAATTTATTTCCAAAAGTGAAACTTAAAACAAAATAGCCCCTGTTTGACGTAGATTAAAATTAATTTTTTAGTAAATTTTGATAAAAATTGGTGTAAAAAGTTACGGATTCATGAATTATGGGATTAAAATTAATTGTTGATTTTAACTTAAAATTAAAATTAAATTTTAATCAGAAACAAACAGGGACTAGATTTTGAAATGAAATTCAAAGAAATTAATGCATTTGTTGTGGCAATACGAGCAAAGGACCTTACGATCTCCGTATAGGATCCAATAAAGTGTAACTTACAACTTTTCATATTTTTGTGTAATTTTTTCTCATTATCAATATGTGCATATCTGCCCATTTGATGTATGTAGCATAAAATGAGCTTCAATATTCATTATACTCTATACTGATCTATTGTCGTAAATATAATAATGTAAATAAAAAAGAAAAAACAATATTATCCGACATTTCGTCATGTTTGTCTCACATTTTTTCAGAACTTTTTTTTCCCACGCACTCTTTCCAATCATATATTCACACAATAAAATATTCTACAGATAAAGTCAAAAAAATTCCCTATTTTTAAATCACACGTTCCATAGAAATTCATTATTCAATTTATTGGTTTAAACTTTAAACATGTAATAAACATTTTCACATTCTAAATGGAGAGGAAATACAGTAAATAATACTCCATCGATCCCAATTATATATACTTGTTTCGTTTTTCACACGAATTAAAAAAATTTCTTTAATGTCATTGGAAAATTAATTTTTGTCAACATCTTTCCTAATTTACCATTATTTAATTTTCAGTATGTAAAATTAAATTATTGTTGGAACGAATAAAGAATTTGAAGAAAAAGAAGAATTGAGAGTTGCTCCATGTTTTCAAAAAGTAAAAAATGTGTGTATTTTAATGATTTCAAGAAATCAACATATTAAGTAGAGAAAATTAAAAAAAATTATATTATTGATAAAAGAATACAATAAAATATTATAGGATATATTAGGAAACCGATCCTGTATAATTGGGACCGAGGAAGTACAGATGTTATAGTGTTTGTGTATACGCAATTACTGTATACGTATAAAGCGAGACGAAACTTGTTCCTGCTCAAGTATTTCTGGGTATTTCATTTCTCACACATCGGTGAAATTTTAGAGATTCTCTTCATTTTCTTGGTTATAGATATAGATATATAAATATATATCATAGAGACCCAGGAAGAAGGGGGAGGATGAAGATCACGGCGTTGTTGGTGTTAAAATGCAGCCCGGAGGGTTCGGATCCAGTGATATTGGCCAACTCATCGGACGTGAGCCGGTTCGGGTTCTTCCAGCGGCCCAGCGTCAAAGAGTTCATTGTCTTTGTGGCGCGGACCGTCGCCAAGCGGACCCCACCCGGCGAACGCCAGTCGGTGAAGCACGAAGGTCCGATCCCTATTTCTATTTTATAAAGGAAAAGAAAAGTAATCTTTTCTGCGTTTTATGTTTCTTGAAAATCGTTGTTTATTTGAATTATACATGATCCTGTTTTTTTGGTGTTTAGACACGAGATTTCATTACTTTGAGATTGTGTAGTGAACATTTTATATTTGATTATAGCGAATTCTCCTTTTCTTCTTCAGAAAAAAAAGAGATTCTTTTGTGAAACTTCGTTTGTTTGTTTATTAATTTCTTTTATGATGGATTTTGATTGATTTCATGTATTATAGATGTATGTGTGGAAGATTTTTTGGCATAAGTTTTGAGATTTTTGAATTTCTTTTTGTTTTAGGGAGTAGTAATTGTCAGATATTTTATGATAATTGAGTGAAAATCGTTCTGGTTCTATCTATATTTTGATTTATATTAGTGCTGTATAATTAAGCAAATAAAGGATTATTTCTTGGGGCGTCGATTGTTGTGGTGCAGTGTTTTAGTTGGTAAATTAGTGATTCAATAGGCTCCATATGGGCGAGATATTTGGTTTCAAAGGAGTTCATATGCAAACTTAAAATGCAATGATGGGTATAGATAGGACGAGAAGTAGCAAGAAAGTGTGGCGTTGGAAATGGAATAGGAAAAATGAGTGATGACTTCTAGTTGTTAAGTTTTGTATTATTCTTTCCCCTATGAATACTAATTTTATGATGCTCATGGCAGATAACCTTATATTGTATGATTGTTTTAGGTGAATGTTGAATCTGTTTACGGTTTTGAATAAGTGCATTTTGTATTTGGGAACTGGAATTAAAGTTGAGTGGTACAGATTTATATTTTGAATTTCTCCTTTTGAGCATCAATTGGTCTCCAGATCTCCAATAACAAGTGATTAACTGCCAGTTGAGATCTTGTGGTCCATGGGTGTCCTTTCAATTGGCCATCAGAGCAAAACTGCTTCAGCTTTCGAGGGGAAATTGTTGATGAACTTGTGAATTTGTGAACTCTAATATTGCAATGCAATGTGTGGTCTGCAGGGATCTTGTTGAGACTTTGAAGTCTACTGTAGGCATTTTGTTGATTTTCAGTGGACGTTTGATTTATAGTTTGCTTTTGGGGCTCTAGTTGTTCAGTTGAATATGTGCAACTGTATTGTATTTATAAATTTCGAGAATATTTAAGTTGGTGGTTCTTGCAATCTACCATTGACCGTACTTCTTTGCCCACAGCACATCTGGTAGATTTGAACTGGTTTCGATTTCTAGATTATTTTTTAAAAAATGATTGAATTAGTAGATGCCAAAATTACTCGCTTGAAAAGTTTTATCCTTTCCTGTCCAATTCTGTATGACATAATTTTATTGCCTTTGGAAGTTATTTCATGCATTGACTAGAGGTTGACATCTTTCTTTATTTCTTTTACACAATAGAGTACAAGGTACACGCTTACAACCAAAATGGCTTATGTGCATTGGGTTTAATGGATGACCATTACCCGGTTCGAAGTGCATTTTCGCTGCTCAACCAGGTAACTGTACCTTATTGGCCACATATTATATTTTTCAGGGATGCTGTGAATAATTATTAATTTGCTAGTTTCTGTGGATTAATATTTGTCAGGTTTTGGATGAATATCAAAAGAATTTTGGCGATTCGTGGAGAACTGTGCAGGCTGATAAGACTGAAGCATGGCCCTATTTAAATGATGCTCTAACTAAATTTCAGGTATATACTGTTATCAGTTATGTATTTGGGCTAGAAAATGGACACATATCTATTTTCTTAAGAAGATAATAGGTGCCACATATGATATGTTTCTTACAACTGTCAATTTAATTTGTTTGTGTTCCAACTTTTCAGGACCCTGCTGAGGCTGATAAGCTGTTAAAAATTCAGAGGGAACTGGATGAAACGAAAATCATTCTTGTGAGTTACTTGTTTTCACCGTATTTAGAACACTTTTCCTCTTTATTGTGTTGTTTCTACATTTTAGATAATTCTGACTATAGTTGTAAATTGATGTATCAATTTGATAACAATGAAATAGTTGAAATTGTAAAGCCTTTTCAATCTTGCCTAATTGGGGAATGAAAGGCCAAAAAGGAAATAAAAAGCCGATATCATGTTTAGGATGTTACTGCTTATTATTTCTGTGCGTAATTCTTCTTATTCACTAGCCATTTTCGGTAATTGTCTTCATACTTTGTGCAGGACTTGATAGGTTAGCTATAATTATTCTTTTATTTGTTAGTAATATTTTAATGTGATCATCGAGATTTTGGTCATTGTGTGGTCATGATTACTTTATCCAAGTGGCACATTTTAATAGTAGGCATGTTGAATGGCTGTATCTGTAGGGCCGGTTTTTGGTCAGCTACATCCAATGTGATTTTATGTATGTAAATACAGTCAGTATCTTTTGGGTGAACCAGCTCCACAGTCGGCAACGTCATTTGTCTTTTCTCAAAGAAAATTAGGTCATTAGCATATTGGAGAACTGATATTTGAGGCTGATCATGAAGGAATTGGTTGGTGGTTCAGATTATTTGTTCTCTCCATTGTGTTGAGAAGTGAAATGAAACCTTTATTAATTATTAGTTAGTCCTCTACTCTCATATGATGCTACAGGCATTTCCCATGCAATGTCAGACTTTCTGGCTCCTTATGTCCAACAAGGGGAAATAAATAAATAGCTTGTTTGGCTAAGCCTAAAATGGCTTTTTGGGAACTATGTAGGAATGGTTCTTTTGAGCACCTTTAAGCTTAGCCAAACCTATAAAAAGAAAGAAAGTGAAAGATCGAATACACCTAACCAAACAACTAGATGAGCTCAATTGAGCAATATCCTTTTTAAACGTAAATACCATCATGCAAAATGGAATGTTTGTAATTTCTCTCTTTCAGGCTACTAAACGTGTTTTTATTGTTGACTGTTATGAAGCTTCCAAATATGAAATTAGGTTGAGCTCTGTAAATGGCTTGCTTACCAAGTATTGTTATTTATTGAATCATGGCGTTTATTCCTTTCATCTTGTTCTTTTTCTTCTTTGTCAGCTTTGCATCATTACCTCTGCTAATTCTTTATCTTATATTTTTACTCAGCATAAAACTATCGACAGTGTCCTGGCTCGAGGTGAGAAGCTAGATAGTTTGGTCGATAAGAGTTCAGATCTCAGTGCTGCTTCTCAGGTATGCCTATGTAACTGTTACTTTGCGGCTACGATTAAATGAAGATTCAAGAACCCTCATGTTTTTCAGCTTTTAGAAATCATTTTTGGGAAACTTAAGAGTAATAATAAATAAACGACAGGGTTGTCACAGTTTAACTACTAAGATTTTGTCTCTGGATCTTCCTTCTTTCCTTCTCTTTGGTAGAAAATCTTTGGATCGTCAACTATGCTTTGGCTGTTTGAACCTTGAAAGTGTCCCATTAAACTATATAGTCAACCACGATTAAAAAGGAAGCTAAGGAGGAAACCTCTTTGGCCAGTTCTGCAGTGTTCTGAGTTAGAAAACATGACTGTTTAAGAGTTCCAGCGTCTACGAAAACTCTCTGCTTTGCAAAAGATATTATAATTAACACATGCTCCTTTTTGGGTTGATGGCATAAATGGAGAACCATATATTGTTGACAACTGTTTAGTGTGTTTTGAGTACTAGTTGAGTTGTAAATAATTTCATTGCCGTGCAATGCACATTTTTCAGAACATTTCCAATAAATTACCTTTCTATAAGAAGCTCATAAAGCGTGCGTATATGTTCACTTACTTGAACACCAATCCTGGCTTAGAATTTAACTTTCATTCAGGATTTTATAAACAGATTTTTGTATTTTTCGAACTTATAGTTTGGCGATGCTGACACTTGAATTTCCTTGGTGCTGTTGAAACAGATGTTCTACAAACAAGCAAAGAAAACCAATCAGTGTTGTACCATTTTGTAAATGCTTTCGGTGGCAGAAACGGGATTATTACTACGTTTCTCTCGTGTCGTATCTATATGGTTTTTAGATAAAAATGTTAGCAAATTGGCAATATTTCTATGGTTTGTATTTACGAGAGCTTTGATTTTAGTTGGCGTGGTGCATTGAGATCTCATTTATTCCTGTTTATAGCTATTTTGTTTGCTATTTAAATTTTTTCGGGAATTTTGTTGGTGGTTGGTTAATGTTTTAATGGTTTCCATAGTTGTGTAGTTGGATCTTGCTACATGTACATCAAGATTTACGTAATGGATTACATGATGTCACGTCACTCTACCAAAACTCTAAATTCCAAAAAAAAAAAAAGACGAAGGGGGAAGAATTGTTTGTTGTGAACTCCAACTTTAGATTGTAGCTTTACTTTTCATTTTGTTGTAATTGTTTGTTGGTGACTATCAGATATATTATGAGATAATTTTTGAAAAATCAACCATTTAACATTTACATTATATATATTATTAATGTGTACTATGTAGGCAAACAAATTATGAGCTTGTTTGGGAGGGATTAAAATCATATTAAAATTGAAAATATAATCGTTATTGTTGACTTTTATTAGACGAGTGGGACCCAATAACGACCATATTTTCAATTTTAATTGGCTTTTAATCCCTCCCGAACGGGGCCTCAATATGGGAGTATTTGTTTTTTATTTGAGAATTGAACGAAGGGGGAAGAATTGTTTGTTGTGAACTCCAACTTTAGATTGCAGCCTTACTTTTCATTTTGATGTAATTGTTTGTGAGTAAATTTAATCAATACTCACTGAACTTTAAAATTGTTACCACTTACTCACTCAACTTTAACGTGTTATTGAACAGTCACTCATTTTTCCTTATAGTTAATCATCCACCATTCGCTCTACTCCCATCTCTTCAAATTGATGGAAAGTTACACGTGGATGACGATTTTCTCACATGGCAAACAACCCTCCATTAAATTGACACCCTGTAATTAAATCCATGACATTTCTCCATTTAACTCACGCTTCTTCCCCATTTTCACGACATTTATGCCTAAATCCCCAAATTCAATCCCTTAATTCCCAAACCCCAAACTGTTGGCTCCCGGCTTAAGGCCTCCTGGAAGGAACCCAACGGTCACATCATCTTCACCACCACGAAGGAAGTCGCCATCGCCCAGCTCAAAGCCCTCCGAAACGACATCGCCCAACTCTCAAGCACTCACAGAACTGTTGGTATTCCTACAGAGAACTACAGAAGAATCATTCCTTACGCGGATGAAGTTGGAGGCTCATTTGAGAGAGAATGCTGAAGGTTTTCCTGGAAATTACTATTATCATAATGCTTTAGTGGGCCTTAGTTCTTTTGTTTCCCCCGTGACTTCAAGGCCGACTGTGTCCGTTCCTGCTTCTTTTCTGCCACCTGAGTATGTCGTTGATGACTCAATGGTTGAAAGTGGATCTCATAGAAGTTTGAGTAATAGACCTGATTCTGCTCTGGCACATAACCTTAATCATTTTGCCTGTGGGGCTGAAGCAGAATGTCTCACATTTCAATTGCAGTTGGTTGTTGTATATGTAGTTGGTTGCTGTAACTTGACTGTATGATCTTTGCACAATTGAATGAAAGAATCATGTTATAACTTCGTTTGTTTCGTTTATAAAACCTGCTGCTACAAAATTAACAAGGTCCATCATATGCAGTTAGTTCCAAGTTTACTTGTAACCCTTGTAAATAATGCACTTAACATGTTACTGAAAATCCCTTCACCTAAACATGGAGGAATATTTTATGATGGATATGCAGATGTCCCATTTGTGCTCTCTTCTAATGGTCATGGAATTGAGTTGCAAGGACAGACTCATTCCAACAACTGGAAAATTTTAACTATTGAGAAAAAAAAAAAAAAAAGGAAAATTTAAAACCCAAGCCATCACTAGATGATTGACAATGCAGATAGCATCTACTTTAATTCAAAACTAAATGTTCCACCAAGCACCTGGAGTCCAAGCCAAGCCATCATCTGATGCTCAGCTAATTCAGGGCATTTTTGGTCCAGATATAGCATCAGACTATCAGTTACACATGAATGAGATTAACATTTGTAAGTTGCATTTTTAACCTCTAATTGTACTTTCATATATCTTCTATGTTAGAGAACTTTGATGGGGTCCAATTAAAAATGATCTTTAATATTGATACCAACCTTTGCAGCCATTTGCTTAAACCAGTTTAGTTAATTGTCATAACAAAAGAACTATAACAAGCAATGAAATTCTGTACAGTTGAGAGTAGATTACAAAAGTATTTAGCAGCTTAGAGCTGATGCATTACATTGAACAACCAACTACATATACAACAACCAACTACAATATAACAACCAACTCCAACTACATGTACAACAACCAAACATGACTGCAATCTCCCACCAGCAATAACCCTGTAAGACATTCTGCTTCTTCCTTTTCGTGGACTGCAATCTCCCTTCCCAAACAGGACTGCAATCTCCCTTAGTGCTACAATCTCAACCATTTCCATGGTGAATGATTGGGGTGCTACAAAACCTCCTGTAATTGAGGAGGATAAGGAGTTCTTGGGAAGAAAGAGAAGTTGCAGGATTTTATAATCAATTCAGAAGTTGCTGGAGACCAAAATAATCAAGTTGCTGGATAAGTACAGCAATCTCAACGCAAATGTCAACAAAAGTTTGTTGCCCCATGCCATGGCTTTCTGCAATCACAGGATCCAAAGAGAAGAAACAAACAATAATTAGCAGCATATTTGAGGATCATTTAGTAGGCCATAAATTTGGGGAACTAACCTTCAAAATAGTCTCCTTTCCACATCTCTGTTGCCCTAAAAAGAGGCCTTGAAGAAGTCCCTATTGCCATATGAACATAGTAGTTTAGATAAAAGTATTTCATTCTCAGTCATTCAAGAAACCGTAAATTCGAGTATTAACGCTGCATACCGATGAACAGAATAATGATTAAGACAGTGATGAGCTATGAGCCTCCAATTAATCTGTGAACCTCAGACTTGTCTGGCAATGGACGGCCAGACATCAATCAGGTGCTCATAAGGGTTTGAATTGAGGGTTCTTCCAGTGAGCAGAGAAAATGGGGAGAAACGTGATTTGAAGTGGAGAATGTTGTGCCCTTAATTACAAGCTGGCAATTTAACGGAGGGTGTTTGCCATGTAAGAAAACCGTCATTGACGTGTAACTTTTCGTCAATTTGAAAAGATGGGAGTGGAGTGAGTGGTGGATGAGTGACCGTTCGGTAACGCGTTAAAGTTGAGTGAGTAAGTGATAACAACTTTAAAGTTCAGTGAGTGTTGATTAAATTTACTCAATTGTTTGTTGGTAACTATCAAATATATGAGATAATTTTTGAAAAATCAACCATTTAACATTTACATTATGGGTTAATTTCACAAATGGTCACTGAAGTTACGTCAAAATAACAAAACGGTCACTGAAGTTCCAAAATTGCACCAACGGTCACTGAAGTTCCACCCGGTTTCAAGAATGGTCACTGAAGGACCAAATGAGTTGAAGCGTGAAAGATAGGGACCTGCGTCGCAAATTGACAAAAGCCTTCCTCTCCAAAGTTTTTCCGGCGATTTTGGAACCAAATTCCGGCGAGATCCGACCACCTAAACCGCTGGAAATTAGAACCGGTCGAAAGTACTCATCGTCCTCTTCGATTAGCATCTAACCTCTCCCAATTTCATCAAGTTATGTGATCGGAATCCATGGTCAAAACCTCACTGCCGGAAAATCTGAAAATCGCCAATAACTCGAGCTCATGGCGAAATTGGCGAAGACCCATACCTGGGCAAGCTTCTCCAGGTGAAGAGGATNGAAACTATGGGCTTGTGTGGGAGGGTTAAAATTGAAAATAGAGCCGTTATTGTTGACTTTTATTAGACGAGTGGGGCCCAATAACGGCCATATTTTCAATTTTAATTGACTTTTAATCCCTCCCGAACGGGGTCTATATATACAAGCAAACAATTTTTTTAATCTTAGATAGGCAAATTTTTTTAATTCGAATAAATATTCAAATTGACTAACCAAATCAAACTAACATAAGCCGATTTGGTTCGATTTCAACAATTGGATTGGGTCGGTTAGGATTGGAGTTCAAGTCGATTTCAATTTCAAGTTGAGTTTAAAGCCAACACAACCCTAATCAAACCAAGCCTATGTTTCGCGTCAGAATTTTAATATTTTTAAAGACATGCATTTCTTTGACCCGAATCTTGCTACATGTACATCAAGGGTTACATAATGTCACATAGTACTTATCATTTGCCAATTTTAAATATAAACCACTTTTTCATTCAATCTTTTTCTTCTACATCTTATTATATAATCGTACAATTTTGATGTACAACTAGTAAAATCCCTTTAACCCACATGTATGTATGAGTGCATGTATATATACATAGACTCCAATGAAGCTTTTTTTTTTTTTTTATGTTGGATTCGTTTTTGTTGAAATCATCAGCACTCTCAAGAAATCCAAGCCTTCCCTAGCTTTAGCCTCATTCTTAAACTAATGAGACTTTTGCTTCTTATTAGATTGCTTTGGCAGCTGTTTATACATGAAACATGCTACATATACAATCATGAGTTGACGAGAATTTATACCATCCATTTTAAAACTGTTTTTTAAATCGACGACTCGTGAATTGTCACAAAAATTGTATAAATAACTTTATTCATTATACATTACTTTAGCAGCTTCAGTCGCTGTTCCATCTTCTAACCTCAGTAGAGAATTTGCTGCATAGGTCCATAGACTGGGTTGGGGTTGGATTTGGGGACATAAAACAATTTTGCCTTCTTCCCGTTTTCAAAAAATAATAATAATAATAATAATAAATCAAATTTATTTTTAGTAACACAAGACAATCTGCAAAATCTGTACCTACATTATCCAGCTTATACAGCAAAATTTCCCTCATGGTAGGAAATGAAAATCCAAGATCAATGGAAAATATAAAATAAATATTTATATTAAAAAATTGCATTTGGAAAACGAAATTGGAGGCTCAGATTCGCCTTTTATCATCAGAAGGGAAAAAAATGGCAAACCCGCCATGGCTGCAGAAATCAGTTGCTTTATGAGAACTCATCTCAATAATTCTCTGATTTCGCCACGCCAAGATACTGGTTCGCTCTAAATCTGATCTTCCTTTCGATTAAAAAAATCATCACAGCCTCAAAATACTCTTAGCCTCCGTTCGGGAAGAATAAGGGGTGCGTTTCACAGAGCTTTTAGGGTTTAAGGATTAGGGTTTTTGATTGATGATGATGATGAGATTACCAGGGTTGTTGAGATTTTAGTTGTAAGATCATCGGCTGCTGGTAGCATTGAGGGGCAACAACCCTAGAAGACTCCCTTCCTCACTGCAGAACCAGTAGCCTCATACTTAAACTAATGAGATTTAGGGTATTCTTTCGAACTTNAGCCTCATACTTAAACTAATGAGATTTAGGGTATTCTTTCGAACTTTGTTAGCTATTTATAGTCTATTTTAAGAGGTGTACTTCCATGACCATTTTAACCCTGGTAGTGAAATGAAAGTTGGGGTATGACCTTGCTATATTACCCCACAAATTTGTCATCTTCCTTGACATGTCATTTTTGTTATCGACCAATTTACCAAAAAAAAAAAAGATAATTTTTGCATCAATCACTTGTTGTCACACCTTCATCTATAATCAGGATATCAAATTCATCCAACAAAATGACATTACTAAGTCCTACTGAGAAAAATATTGAACCCACGTTCTTCTAATCGTTCTTGTCTAGCCATATTGATTAGCCCATTTATCAAATTCGTAATTGATTAACCAAAGTCAACTAGATTTTCACATTATTTTTTAATATTTTGTAATGATAGAATTTCATATTGTGTACATGGTCACGAAATCAAAAATCGACTTCGTTTTAATTGAGAAAGAACTAGAGGTAGTAATGGATTGAGATGTCAATTAGGCTAGTGTCACAGGCCGACTCTTTCAGTCTTGGAACGGAATTATTTTTCGCCCATAAAATAGTAATCTAACTCCATTCGTCTACCTTCCGCATTCTCGATCTCGAGTTTGAACATACCCCATCACATATTTCACTCTCAAAGCTTACTAGCGTTTACTTGAGGCGTCCCGCTTTGCACTTGGAGCCAAATGCTCGCCTATTCGCAATGCACGACATTGAGAACATTAGAGCCTGTAACGCTGTAGCATAGGAATTTCCTGTTTGAGCCATTTTTGTATGACTATATTTTAAAATAGTAATTTTTTTAATTAATGTGTAATTTTAAAATAAAGAAAATTATTTTATGAACGAATGTATAGTTGAAAATGAATTTGAAAAAAAAATTGAATAATTCGAGGCCAGACATAGGCTTTATTTAGCCCAGTTTGGTGTCTTCAATTCGAAAAAATTATATTTTAAATAGTATTTTTTAAAAAATATTTAATTTACATATAAAATATTTTATTGCATTTAAGTGCCTATAACATCCATTAATTTATTTTGTAGTAGGTTACACGATCATTTTGAACCACACATTCAAACCCGAAAAATACTA